CACCGAAATATACTGTTACTGCCACTAACACATACACATCCCGCATGCATCCCAACACACTCAGGATGAACAGCCTGATGGGAACATAGATACTGCTTACCCCAGCAGCTCGACGTATGGGCGCCCTGACATGTGGGCTAAAGATATGCATTATGCATGTATATGTACGCTGTCGAGGACGGCGGACAGATATAGAGACAAACGCCTCGACAGGAAAATAGATATAACTATCAACAGGGATCGGAGGATATACATACCAACAGGAACAGCGGTATAAGCTCCGATCCACAGAAAGATATGGACAACAACAGAGACAGGTACATACATCCTGACAGCAGCAGAAAATGCAAGCGTGCAATGTTGAATGCTTCGTCAGTTTTCGTTCTGAAGCGTTTATCCTGCACTGTCGGTGTTGTTTTGCCTCATATTCTAGAATGCACAACGTAAGATCGCCCAACCTCATGACAAATCGGCACATCAATCGCCATACGACGTGTGCGATCCGATCATACAGGATTGCACGTTGCTTAAATCACACGTACGCATCAGTAACAAGTCTAGGCCTCTCTGCTGGCGAGGTCTAGGCTCTAGAAACTATAGCACCGTGCCAACTATGGAAAGGCCGAGAGGCCTCACCATAGTTGGCACGATTCGTCGGGTCTTTTGGCAACGATGTCGGCTCGATGGTGGGCAGGTGGTCATGCACGACGCCGCCAGCGGAGCCCCGCTGTGTACACCCACGGGGCCGTGGGGTCACTTCAGGCCGATGTACCGCCCCCCCCCCCCCCATCCCCCCGCCTGAGTCTCCCGGGAAAATGCATGTGCGGAAGAGCATGCCCATGGCCTCTGTTCCTGGCGTCTGGCGGCGCCCCGCAGCCGTTTGTGGTCTCCCTGAACTCGGCTTAATTTGCCTGGGGCTTCCATCAGCGGTGGCAGATTAAATCCATCTAACAGGCGGCCAGTCAGTTTCGCTGAAGGGTTGTGCGTCATTGAGCCCATATTGGTGGCGCAGTTATGTCCGGAATTGGCGGCCTGACCTTTCCAAACTGCAGGTCAGCTGAGCGGCGTGCCCAACTGATTTGCGTCTTCCCATGCGCGATGCGACTCTGGCCATGGCAACCGTATTCCGCCGTTGACGTGGTGCGGTTGACTTGTGTTTGGTCAAACCGGCCCAACTGGTGACGTCATGTGTTGACGTCATAGTGGTGACAGCGGGCCTGGTACCGGTCCCGGCTGCAGCTGAGTTACGCTGCAATGCACAGCCTGTTTTGCAACAGGGCTCAAGTATCGCACGAGAGGCAGTGAGTTGTGAGTTGTGAGTGAGTTGTGAGTGATAGGCAGTGAGTTGTGAGTTGTATCAGTGAGTTGTGTCTGCCTGAAAAGTTCCTTGTACATTGGATGAGGCGCTTATTGGTGATTGTTTTGCTGCTTGTCAAGTAGTTAATCATTTATGTTTTAATATGTTCATGATGGGCTTTTGGCTTTGGAAAATATAGGCTTCATTGCCATAAGAATTCCTTTATCTTTGTTTGTCTATATGCTTAAAAACATGCCCCGTGACACCGATCTCCTAATATACCTTTGTGGTTAGGGCTGGTACCCTGTCGTATTCTCATCTGGAGCTTATATCCGTCGGTCCTGCTCCCCCGTTCAGTTTTGCTCCGCTTCTTCTCTGTTCAGCTGGCTGAGGGATACCTGCGCACCCGTATTTTGGACGAAGTGTTGGGCTTCTGTTACCAATGTTTGCCTAAATATCGTCCTTCCAACTGCGTGCTCTTGTTTCCGTGTTCTTGCCTGGCAAGCGGTCCACTCCGGCCTATTCGCCACACGTCACAGCTCAGCTTGGCAGCGTCTGGACAGGCCCTATGCGGTCGCATCCGCCTAAAAGGGTGGACCACATGTGCACTTGGGTCCCGTGGCAGGCCTGCAGGCCGCGGGTTGACGAGATGGGGCTCAACACACAGATAATGTAGGATATTCGTCACCGCCCAAATGTCCGGCAAACACGCCCTCTCTAGCTTTAGGCTAATGTCGCGACATCTGGTGTCAACCGACGAGCCGGGGGTGCGTTTGGCCGACAGATAATCTCAGAAAATGATTCGGAATGTCGACACATTTTCGGGAATGACGTTCGGCACTACCGACACGTAAAAGTATCCCAATCATTCCCCTTGCTGAGCGAGAAACCCGACAAATTTCAGAGCATGGTGGAAACGGAGAATTGTTTTTAGCTATGCATAGCTGCATGGGAGACGAATCTGGGGATATCTTCCGGACTTGCTGAACGTGAGTGGAGAATCTGCGTGGGTGATTATCGGCGAGATGATAATTTGTTAAATTATATACTTTTGGCCGAACGCGCCCTTGGCCTAACCGCACTGACCTCCCGGACCGGGGCCGAGAGGTCTCGTTAACCGGGGGCTGACGAGCCTTCTGCTGCATATCTACACTGCACCGCATGCACTGTACTTCCACTGCATATCTATACAATCCATGCATCCTTACATCATACCTCACACGGCTTTGGCAGCCAGTCAGCGGAGACAGCGGCCGCTAAACGCCTAATCAAAGCCGGAGGTAGCCGAGTGGTGTGCAACGAAAAAGCACTGGAAAAGAAGGCGTATGCCAGGCGGCATGTTGCTTTCGGTCTCTGTCCATTATATGAACCTTATGCCGGGAACACCCCAGTCGATCACGCACAGGCTACTGAAGCAGTTCCGTCCGAGATCAGCAAAGGGGCACAGTGATGGCAGCAGATCATTGCTGTCAATGCCCGCCTGTCGCCGAGGGGTGGAGCCGGACAAGCGAGGAAAATGAAGTGCTCTGGAGGGGCCAACGTCTAGAGACGCCACGTCATAACGCATTTGTCGAACGAAAATCATGCTATTTGAAAGCTGGGCTCTGGGTACACGTGAAAATGTCTGCTGTTTTCTGTGTCGGAGCCAGTGTTGCGAACGGCTCCAACTGTGAACACGGCTGCAAAACCTGCGTCAGGCGTCTCCCCCGCCCCGTCAGCTGGCACACATCGGAGGAGCCCCGTCCGCTATGGCCGCCTGCGATGAGGCGAGGTGGCCGCCTCTCAGCGAGCGCGGCGGCTCCGTCCAGCCGCCGACGTGGCTGTAGCCATGCGGACACGACTGCGGCGCTGCTGGCGGTCCTGCAGTACAGCGATAGGGCCCCACCGGCGACCCCGCCGTCATTAATCTGCTGGGAAAACATGACAGGAGTATGCCTGCTGGCCTCCGCAGTCAGGTCTCGCCGGCTGGAAGCGTGCCCCACTCGAGGCTCTGGGGCCAGGAACCCAGCCGGGGGTCCTCAGAGAACGGCTTTTGCCGAGTGAGTCGGGCGCATCCTCGTGTGACAGATACAACGCCGAGCGTCTGGGTGCACCGGCGGTGGCGCGGAACACTGACCCAGGCGCGCACGACGCGCGAAGTTCGTGGACGAGAAGCGTGCAGTGCACAGATGTGGAAACGATAGTCTAGGGGGTCGGGCGGTTGGCTGCGACCCCACTCACAGCCACCGCTTGCAAACGCATTGCAGACTCACTCGGTATTGTGTCGCCTGTAGTGCCGGTGGTGAGCGCGGCCTCACGCTGAAGGGGGCAGGTCCGTGAACCCCATGCCCTTCGGCGCTCGAACGAACCAGAATGGTGCCTGCGGAGCTGTTGTTCCTGACGTCGCCTCAAACGCGTACCTGCGTGCGTCGATCACCGTTGACGGCTGTCGTCGTTTCCGTGACGAATGGGGGCGGTGAGAGTCGTGCGCGGCTCCTTTTGCTCGCTCCTGATGTGTGCCGTCAGGGCTTTAGTACCCGCCTTCATTCGCCGGACCAGCTCATGGCCTGGGGCCCGTAAACTTCCTCGTGCGATGTGACTTTCTCAACTGCTCACAAAATGGGGCGCTCGCACGGAGTCCATCTCCTGTCTTTCGCGAGCAGCACGCCCGCTCACTTCTCATATATATGACGTCATAAGCGCTGGCAGTGCTGTGTTGCCTACTTTCATTCGCCGAACCCACCCGAGACCTTTAAGTTGTCAACTTTCTCGCGCAACGTGACATTTGCGACGTCCACGAAATAGCGCGAGGAAGCACGGGGAGCTAATCGGCGGGGTGCGGCTCCGTCGTGAGCTTGCCTGTCACGTGACAGAGGGCGCTCCGACCTGTTGAACGAAAATGCCGACAGGTGGCATTCCAGCCACGCGTCCCCGCTATTTTCGGGACAGGCCGACCGCCCTCCCACGCGAGCGCCAGTGCATTGTATCCGTAATAAATATCCGCATTGCTCGAAGCGTGCTGGATGCTTGAGTGCTGGGCTTTTGTCGTGTGCGAGTAATTATCACACTCGGAACGTGCGCGGCTGCTAAGCGCCTTTGCTCGACAGAAGCTGCAAGGTTTTCGAGCCCTCTTACCTCATCATGTGACGAAATATCATCTGACAGGGCGATGGACGTTTGATTTTAGCGTACGGTTTCATTATATCCACCGACTGTGTTGGGGTCAAGTATGTCTATAGTCGAACACCACATGGTGCGCCGTATTTAGGGTTTGTAAGTGTCTATTATTTCTCCGTTTAAAATGCTGTACCAGACATGTTGAGAATTTGGCGATCTCAGAACGACTATCAGTTTGCTTGAGAAGAGACCACGCTTTAAGTAAGCCCTCGTGGAGTGGCATGGCGCAGCGAAGCTCCATTCTGTCACTATTGAATGCCGCATGTTTTACTGACTGACTTTATTGCGACAACCGTCATGAAAAGCGACCACATTCGTGATGTCACAGGTCACACATGCACCAGTGCCTTGCACTACAACAATGCCAGCCTAATGTCGTCGACCAGGAAAGTCAAATGCTGTGCACAGCAAAAGTCACAGCGATTTGTGCTGTGCCCATCTCCGCGGGTGGGTCATGCCTGCCGCCCGGTCCCGCTCCCCCAGTCCGTGACCTGAAGGAGGCCCGGCACTCCCAGCCTGACCCTGCGCCGCCCGCTGCCACCGACAGGTCGTTTGGCGTGCTGCTGTGGGAGGTGATGACGCTGGGCCAGCTGCCGTACCCGGGCCGCGGCAACACGGAGGTCATGCAACTGGTGATGGACGGCGGCCGCCTGGACTCGCCACCTAACTGCCCGCGTCCCGTCTACGGCGTCATGTGCCAGTGCTGGCAGCGCGTGCCAGAGGAGCGGCCCAGCTTCACCACCGTGCTGGAGCGGCTCGACTACTGCCTGCAGGTGGGTCAGACGCGCACCGGATCGCCTCCCTCCCGCGCGCCGGGTGGGAGGACAGGCGCGATGACCAGGGCCTGCTGCTGGCTGGAGGCTGAGAGGGCTCCGAACCACGCCAGCTGTTCTGCTTTGGGGTTGAGGTCCGAGGGAGGTCACCAGTTCTATTTGGAGGGCGATGTGCCAGCTGGGTTAGTCGCGCTACGCCAAGGACGAGAAAGGTCCAAGAGAGACACATTCGCGGTCAGTCGCCCGGTCAGCCTCGCTGCTGGGGTGCATGGAGGGGTCAGCACGAGGTCGGTGGCACTGCTCGGGTGGATGGAGGGGTCAGCAAGAGGTCGGTGGCACTGCTCGGGTGCGGGGAGGGGTCAGCAAGAAGTCGGCGGTGAACGCTCAAGCGAGCGCCAATAGAAGGGACGCCGGTGTTTGCCCACACGTCAGTCGCACGCGACTGGTCCAAACTGCAGGCCGATCAGCCGTAACAGTCGGCGGTCGTACTCTGATCATCGCGGCCACATCGCTCCTTGATGCCTGCGCCATCATCGCCATCGCCTGCGGGATAAATCCGACGGCCGGTCGCCACGCAGGCACGCCTGCCGGTCGGCGGTGTCCTGACCTGCGCGGGCCGGCGGTGGGCCCATCACCTGACGCGGCCACCGCGCGCCCCGTCCGGTCCGTCAGCATGTCGAGCTTGGGTCGCCGCTGACGAGTCTGTGTGGCGCGCGGGGCGTCGCACCGCTCGCGCGTACGGGTGCCGCTTTGAACTGGGTGACTCAGTCCCTGCGCCTCGCGCCCGTGCGAGCGCCGCGTCATTAGCATAGACCCGGCGAGAGCGCTATACCGCGTCGTCGCGCCGGGCTCGAGCGAGAGACGCTTGTCGGCCTCTTGTGCGGCGAGTGGGTGACTGTGAAGAAGTGCCGGCCGCGCGAGTGGGAATTGTGTCACAGGCGGCGCCAACAGGCGTTTGCAAGGAGCGTTTTTTACTTTGGCGGCCGGGCGGCGCTCTTCTAAGTCCGTCTGGGTGACGCTGCGGTCGTAAATGATCGACGCAGCGGGCGGCGGTTTTCTTCCCGCTGTCGTGGTGACGCCGCCGCCGCCCTGTTGCGGACACATTCCGCCGCCTTTGTGCGGTGCCGGTTCTTGCGGCGCCTCTGCCCCCTGACCCACTATCTCGGACGATGCTCGGTGGGTGTGACTGTTGCTGACCCCCCCCCCCCTGTCGGCAGGACCCGGACGTGATGGCCGCGCCGCTGCCCGTGTTCGACGGCGTTAGCTCCACCGACAAGGACTCGACCGTGATGCGGCCGTCCGACTCGGAGCCGCTCGTGCCGCTCGAGAGTCAGAAGCGCGCGGCGCGCAGTGCCGGCTCCGACACACCGGCCTCCTCCTCCTCGGCCGATTACCTGGTGCCGACGGAGCCGAGCAACCATTCACTCTGCACGGTGCGCACCGAGCTGGCGTCCGAGGCGAGCTGGGAGGACGTGCGCGCGCCGGCCACCGACCGAGGCGTCTCAGAGACGTCCTTCAGCACGCTGGAGCGGCGACGCAGCGGCGCGGCGGCCAGCTCGCCCAGCGGTATGCCGCTGCTGCAGACGCCCGACGAGCCGCCCGACTGGCCGGCGCCGGCGGTGGCGGCGGTGCGCGCCGCGCCGCGCGCACGGCGGGGCTCGCCGGCGGAGCGAGCGGCGCTGCTGGAGGCGCCGCCGCCGCCGCCGTCGCTGCCACCGCCGCCCACGCCGCCAACCGACGCGCGCCGCAAGCCAAAGTGGTCCCGCAAGCCGAGCCCACTGAAGCTGGACCCGGGTGGGCTGCCGCCCGCCGCTGCCGCCGCCGCCGCCGCTGCCGCCGCCGCCGCCTCCGCCGCTGCCGCCGCTTGTCAGCCGCCGTACATGAACGTGGGCGCTGAAGGGGGGCTGGCCGCCGCCACCATGCCACGGACTAGCTCGTACGACAAGGCCTTGGGCAGGACGGAACCCTGCATCATCGGCATCACGACGCCGAAGGCGGACGCCGAGAAAAACCCGAACTACAGTGAGATCCACTGCTAGTGCGCCGGCGCTCGGGGCGCGCGCGGATGGGGACGGGTTAGTGTTCGTGCCGGAACGCCGTGCTCGCGTCGGAGTGAGGCGCGCACCGCCGCCGTAGGGCTGCGCCGCTCCTGGCGTGTGCCGCTGCTTATTCGCCGTCGATATTGCATTGTCTATTTTGATGTTTGCTGGCTGCCAGCGGCCGTGCGTTTTCTGTATCGGAATACCTCAAGCTTGAGAGCTGGGCGGGCTGCCGGCGTGGCTGCCGACGGCTGCCGAGGAACGGACGCGGTCGTCCGTCGAGGCGTCCATGTCCAGCCATTCGACCCGGGCGTGTGAACTGGCGACCGCGGTTCTCCGCTGGTCCGTTGCGCCGTTTTATACGCGAGTCGCGACCGCGCTGCAAACGCTAGTAGGCTGGCTGGACGCAGCGCCCCCTGACGAAGTCGGTGCGGTCGGGCCGACCTGTCTCCGGCGGTGCCGCTCGTGTCACGCTCGCTCGGCTCGGCTTCGGCGAAAGCGCCCTGTGAGGCGTGCAGCCAGTTGTTATGACGTTCTTCGCGGCCAAGGCGGAACGCTCTGGCGTCGCTGTTGTGATTGCTCAGAAGTTTTAATCTTTTAGGGTGTCGTGGAATGCTGGATGACCCTCGGCCGTGCGGTTGTTCTGTCGGTTCAGAGCATGTGAGATGTATTCCCGCGAGTTGCTCGCCAGTGTCCCCCACTTGCATTGTGCTGATGTGTTTGGTCGAGGCCCATGCTGCGCAGTGGCGCGTGTGAGGTGTATAACACGCGGCAGCTAGGGGTCGAAGATTTGACAATCTGACCAGCTCGTCTTGACTAAACAAACCTCGCAAGCGCCTTTCGCTGCATGGGTTCGGTGTTGTGATCGATCTCCGCGCTGCCCAGCAGTTCTAATCCATTCTAATTTTCCCGGTGACCGCAGGTTTACTTCTTTCTTGCCACATTCGAAAGTGCCGAAAGTGTGTTGTACTTTTGCTATCCTCCCGCTTCACGCAAAACGAAATGAAGCTCCACGAAGCCGTTGGTGAGGCGACCGTCCGCCTGCGGCCGTTGGTCTTTCCGCTGTTCCGCGCTCGTCGCCGCGGAGCCGCAGCTTCCCGACGCCGCTGGTCAGGCGTAAACGTCCGACATCACATTGCTCACAAGCGCGCGTGCTCAGCGGCGGCCGGGTGCCGGCCGGCGGGCGTGCCGGGTGGCGCCGGCGCTCCACGTGCCGGTGGTGAGGCTCGAGGCCCGTCACAGCGCCCCTCGGCGGCCGGCCAGAACTAGTCAAAGGCCGGCTGGGGCTCGGGAGGAGTTTCACCGACGCCGCTGCTCCGTGGGGATTATGGTCGGTGGAGGTGTGTGGTTGTGTGGTGGGGCGGGGATCGTGGTGTCGCAAGTGGCCGTCGTTAGGATCCCGCAGTAGCGATCCAGGCTTTGGTTACCATCAAACACATCGAAGAGGTTGAATCATGCTGCTTCTGGGCGCCAGTTCGCACCCGGTTAGTCGCTCCCGTGCCCGTGGATGTTAATGGTCCGCGTAGCCATGCTTTAGGAAGCACGGTGAAATGTGGTTGACACCTCACGTGCTCGCTGGAGAAAAAACGCTGGTCTTGTTCGCCTTCTTTGTAACACTCCCATCAGGTATACGCGATGGTGCCCCGCATTATGCTGAGTGTGGCGTGTTATGCAGCACGTTATATGTTGTATCGCTCTGTCCTTCGTTCGTCTCCTGATTCGTTTTACCGTATCGTTTCCCATCGTTTCCGTGTCTGGGTTTCGACTGGTCCACGCAGTTTCCGTTCGCACGTCTTCGAGTGGTCGACAGCTGGTTTGTTTGACGTGTGTTCGAACAATCGCCACGCGGCGTGCGTTAGCACGTGTTCGAATGACCCTCACGTGGCTTGTATCGGCACGTGTTCGAACGGTCGGCACGTGGCGTGCGTTGGCAACTTAGCACGTTGCCGAACGACCGTTACGTGGTTGGTGTCGGCACGTGTCCCAACGGTCGACACGTGGCTTGTGTTGGCACGTGTCCGAACGAGGGGCCGGCTGTGAGGGTGGAGTTGCCGTCTGTACAGTCCTTGTTGTGAATATAAACGCTTGTAACGAACACGGTTGTATGTGGTGTTGGGTTTGACCCCGGGATCAGTTGCAGTATCATTTATGAGAGTGACAAACACAGCATGCGTCTCTTGAATGAAGAAGTGGAGCATCGTCCACCGAGAGACCTGTTAAGATCGCCTGAAACGTACTTAAGCGTACCCATCAGATTTCGTCCAAACGTAAATCTTACACTTGCCCCGTCAGGTGGGTATGTACATCGCACATGCGTCACCAGCACTTCTTCCTCGGCGTATGCCCACGCCCCGCGATAGAGAGCGCCAGCCTCCCCACCGTCAGGCGCCCGGCGTCGGCTCCCCCAGCCGCCGGCGCGACGGCCGCGAGCCGCGCCGCCTGTGAGCAACTCGTCTGTGCCGATCGTCTCGTCTGTGAGCAGATCGAGCTCGTCTCCGGCCGACACCGGTCCCACGGACCACCCAGTCCGGCATCGCTGGAATGTCTGCACTAATGGGACAGCGGCCGCCGAAGGCCGGTGACATAATGCCTGGCCGATCTGGAGGCGATCGGGCCCGATTGGGCCGCCGCTGACCGCCGCACCGGTCCGTGCTGACCGTACCACTCGCCGCTCGCCCACCAGCCCGTGTCGGATCCGGCAGGAGGGCAGCGCTCGGTACAGTCGACTCGCCTAGATTTCAGGACGCGCTGATCAGAGCTTGCGTCGGATCCGGCAGCGGGACAGCGCTCGGTACAGCCGACTCGTCTGGATTTCAGAGCGCGCTGATCAGAGCTTGCGTCGGATCCGGCAGCGGGACAGCGCTCGGTACAGCCAACTCGCCCGGATTTCAGGGCGCGCTGATCAGAGCTTGTGTCGGATCCGGCAGCGGGCGGGACAGCGCTCGGTACAGCCGACTCGCCCGGATTTCAGGGCGCGCTGATCAGGGCGGTGATAGGTCGAACTGCGCGGTGAGCACCCCTGTCAGCGCTGATGCGGCCCGGCGCAACCAGGTCTTCATCGGCCAAGTTTTTTAAATAAATTGTGTGTTTCGACGAGGGATTTCCCACTGGAAAACGAGCGGCATCAGTCATTTGCACCACGCCATTACTGCAGGGAGAAGTCGTTGTTTGTTCAGCTTTAAAGATTCCGAGCATAAAGTGGGCCGGAAGCAGGAGTGCAGACAACCCATGCCGCTGCAGGTTTTGGTGTAATGCAAAATTGCGTGTTCGACGCTATTCATTACGCTTCGGGCGTAATTAGCACAGATCTCCGTTGTAATTGAGGTTCGCGAGGCGAAATCAGCAGCTGTAGTGCAAGCCGGTGTTTTGAAAGAGTTTTACCGGTAGTAATTAAAAGTGGGCTTGAAGTCCTTCGATCGGTTTATACTTTAAACAGGAATAAATGAAAATTTTAGTCTATGCACTATCTTCCTATAATCGGGGAGTATGCCAACAAAATGTGTGAACGATGATGCCTGCCGTAATGTCCAGCACGCTGTCACAGCTGGACAGTAAGACAGACGTGGCAGCGTCCGTACCCACCTTCTTTGACATTGTTAGGGCTTTGATATTTTCTTATTGACAGATGTCTGTTTCGTCATTGGCGGATCAAGCAGCTCAGTTTGGAGAGCAGAATGGACTGGCTTCCAACGCCCGCGTGATATTTAAGGCACTTCCAGTGCAGAGGCAGACCCGGGGGAGATGGAGGGCTCCCTCTGCTCTTAGTACATGAAGCCCCTTGGATGGACTTATGTGATAGGTATATGCCAATCACTGCTGTCTTCTGACGGAAAACGTTGTGTAGATATATGCATACCACTCGGCTCACGGACTATCTAGTTTCCTGAAGTTATACATACGACTAAGCATGGTTCCCACCGGGTAGGTAAGATTCCACGAATAAAGAGGGATTTTGGGGAATGCGGAAGGCACTTGCCTGTCCAGCTCACATGTTACAATATTGTATGCAGACATAGATATATCGGTGCATGAAGTTAACTTTGAGCAATATGCGCCAGACTTATCGCCGAAAACAGCAAGAAAATTTTAAAAGGGTGGGATTGTGTCGCATAGAGCAACAGTTAGAAAATCCAAGAAGTAACTTACAAACTTGAATTTCATTATTGTGGACCATCCATTGATCAGTGTAGAACTCTGACCATGCTGAAGAATTTGAAAAACCTATTGGAAGAGCTGTTGGCGAAAACAGCAAAACTAAACCTTCGACAGATTGAAACTAGATATTCAGCATCAAACTTTGGGGGAGGGCAAAAGCATAATTTTGCTCACATGTCCTTTTTTGGGCGGAGCGTTTGCTCATTTCACCCTGGGATCCACCACTGAGCTCTGGCAGCTTCGCCACGTCAACCTTTCTAAGCGTCCTCCATCTTTGAAGGAGAGCGCGGTTGGAGTCACCAAGCGCTAACATTCCCTGCTAGTCGATGTCGGTTAGCAGCATGATTTAGTTGTGCAAGATACAGGACATGGAAAACTTTTGATCGGAGATTACATTACCTGCGTTAAAGACGGGCTGAAAATCCATACTTGCATCCTTTAATTTCATGCACAAGATTGCATCCAGCGCAAACGAAAACGCAGCGCTGGCATAGCCCGGCATTCGCAGACACACTTTTGTACCTAAAACTGGCGCACTTCCAGTAAGCAGTAACCCGTCTTTTGAGAAATTTTGAAGAGATGCACGCTGCCGTTTTATAATTTACACTAATGCGACGCTATTTTCTCAAGTTACCTTATTTGCATAATATATTTGCGTTTCAAATATATGACCGGTGAAATCCCTGCCATGATCCTCTGTTCCCCTTTCACTCCATTGCATGCATTGCGGCAGCTGCAACGAATTTGCGATCTAATTGCATTCGTTCAAAAGATGACCGCAACACGAATGTCCAGCATTGGATCCGTGCTGTCAAGAAACATCAAACAGGCCATGTGTCACTCACCAAATAAAAATTTGGGATGTTCGACCTTCGTGTGGGGTTTAATGCAGCTGCTAGAGAACATCCCGGATGGCTGGGTATGTCTGGACCATGATTAACACCGCATGCGGGAATTACAACCAGACAGCACGGAAGAAACTTTAAAAATATCGGTGCGAAGGACGCTGCAAGAAGTGTCGAAGGTCAGATACTATAAAACCCTGTCAAGCCACTTCACCGCGCTTCACGTGCGGCAACATGTTACTGAAGCATGGAGCCAGTAGCCGCTTCTGCATAATCCTTCCTGTGCCGATTCCTTTATGCAATCAACGGTGTTGGGAAGTTATTTTTAATGACAGTTTGGCCATTGGCTGTCTTCGGAGCTGGTTCTATTACTACGTCTTTGACTGAATGGCCTGGGCGAAAGCCACGGCAGACACGGTCCCTGCGCGGAATTCTGAGCTGTTTCTACGCCTAGACTTTCTACACTCTGCTGGATTATGAAGTAGATAAAGAGATGGACAATGGAAGTGCCTATGGCATTGCCTTGACATTCTAACAAATGGTAAAGGCGCGTCATCACTATGCACGCAAGATACCCACCTTCCTAAATTGTTCAGCCGTGGCAAAGCGAAGAGTGAAAATTGAAATGGAGCATTGACTGAACTCCATCCAAAAGCATTTATCATCGACACTTTCTAAGCCAGCTCGGAAGCAGCGTGGTGGCATGATGGAGTCAAAACGGCGAGGTTTGCCGCTGCCCGCAACAACAAGTTGACCACGACAGCGCGGTGAGTACATGCAGCAGTTCGGATGCCGCCCGAAGATCACTCGCAAAAACGACGCCGATTTCCACTTCGCTTGTATGTACATTCAATTGCGCATCTGGGCTCACCTTCGCAACATACACCGCAATCATATAGATAATACAATAATGACTCGTCTCGCGCGGGCCGGCGAGGGAGCCGCGCCGGCCACCGCCAGTTAAATAATGACTTTGTACATGTGGCTGCGGCTGGCGCGCTCAGCCGCCCGCCGCGGCCGACGTGCGCGAGCCGCGCGACGCCGAGTCCGGCGAGCGACCGCCGGACTCCACCATGGCATCTGCCCGCTCGCTCAGCTGCCTTGAGCTAGCTCAAATCTAACGAGGCGCAAGCGGAAACAGGACTAGGTCATCGAAGGGTCTCAGCGTCGGAGCGGAGTTAGCGCGAAACAGAAAGATTTAGCCGGCTCCAAGCGCGAGGCATGGGTTCCTCCAAATCCTGGACCGACGGCCGGGTCTGCTTTACGCGACTTTTACGCTGGCTTATCGTTTAATCACACACGCCAGTACATCTATGGTGACACTTGGAGCAACAACATTCATCAACAACAATAAGGGCATCTGTGCGCCTGTCACTTGACGACGGTCTGTCAGCGGGGAGGCCACCGCTGGGGCACTAATCCTCCCCGGCCGGCCAGGTGCGCGTCCTCCCCACTCCCGCTCCTCCGGCCGGCCGCTAATCCGCCCCCTCCCCCCTCCCCCCCCATGGCGCTCGGGCCCTCACTGGCACCCGCACGCCTCCACCGTCATGTCCTGGTAGTTTTTGAGCACCACCTCGTTGTGCTGGTCTGTGTACAACATCGAGATGGCCGAGAGTTCAGTGGCCACACAGCAAGGTGGGGGCACAGCACTGCCTTTCAGGTGCACCAGAGTCTGCACGATGGCGTGGTTTGTCGCGTTCAGGTGCGCCGGCAGCGGGAACTGGCTGCACTCGCCATGGCAGAAGTAGGCGTCGTAGCCGGGCGGCGCCACGATCCAGTTGTCCCAGCCGACGTCGGCGAAGTCGACGTAGAGGCGGCGGCGCTCGCACTCGTTACTGCGCCGCTTGGGGCTGCCGGCGCGCCGACGCACGCGGGTGCGCGGCCGCCCGTCGTCCGTGTACGTCACGAGCAGCGGCCGGCTGCGCGCCCAGCCGGCCTCCTCGTCGGCGGCGGCGCGCCGCAGCCGCACGCGCTCGCCGTCGCCGGGCGGCGTCACCACACGCACGAGCAGGCCGTGGTTGGCGGCCGGCCGCGCCAGCCACCTGTGCACCGCCGGACGCACGTCCAGGCTGAGCTGGCGGGCGGGCGCGCGCGCCGCCACCCGCCGCGTGTCCACTAACCGCAGCACTGGCCGCCCGCCGGCGCCTGTCCGTCGCACAATGTCATACACCTGTACCGTGCGCCGGCCGGCTGCCGGCGAGTCCTGGGCCCCGGCCCACCAGAGGCGCAGCTCGGCTGCGCGCAGCGCCTCCTCGGCCGGCACCGAGGAAACGTTAAACCAGAACCGCTGCAGGTTGGCTGGGTACTTGTGCGGGTCCACCTTGTCCTCTGGAACGGAGGGGCGAGGGTCAGGCGGCGCTCGGCACTCGGACGCAGCTGGGTGCCTGCGAGGAAATCTCGCCCCGTAAGCACCCTCTAATCGGCACAGCGTGGACCGGCGCTCCACGAAAACTGATACTTCTCGTCCCGGCTGTGAATGGGGCTTGGCGTAAGGAAAGGTTTGCAGCCGTGCCGTTAAGCCGGGACGGGCGGCTTAATCCGAACGAGGGGTGTGAAAATTATGGACGTTGATCGTCCCTCGCGCAGTTTGAGCATTTCAGAGCCAGGAAATTATAGACAGTTAGGGCATTCTAAATGACATGGTTACTTGATCCTTGGAGAATTTGGACAGCTGTCCGAGGCCTCGGGGACATCAAATCCCCGCCTCCACCATTACAAACAACGTTCGTGAGCAGCGAGGTGTGGAGCCTTGTTTCTGTCTTGCTTTCACTCCCGGATTGTGTTTCTAATTCTGTCGAGGATTGCATACTTAATAGCTTCCACCGGCGCGGATGCACAACCATTACGCCATTCCTGATTTGTGAGAGCATTACGATTTGCACACCCTTGCACAGAGCTGTTCGTGTTCATATGTAATTTACGTGCATGGAAGCAAATTATTATGACCCCGCCACGCACTGGCAATTTCACTTTGAGCGCTCCCATAATTGGAAAAGGACGCTGCCAACTGACAACTAAAACCCGAAGCATCACGCAACATCGGCTAATCGAGGCCATCTCCCTTCCTCATCATCATGAAGCAATTAGGCAGCGAAGGAAAAGACATGATGATCCCGGAACCCTCAAGGCAACCATTATTTCCGGTAGCGCTTTAGATGCCCCGCGACGTTCATGCAGCGCTTCTGACAGCGCCGGAGCAGATTCCCACCGCCATCAGCGCGGACACCGCGCTCCACCGCCGCCCCGCAGCGCGCGCCACTCCCGCTCGACGGCGAGCTCCCACCGCCTCCCCACTCCGCCCCGCACACGCTCGGCCACACTCGGACAGCGGCCATCTCCGCCCCGCACACACTCGGCCACACTCGGACAGCGGCCGTCGAGCGGCTGCACCGTCAGCCCCAAAGGACGGCCGCGCAAACCGCGTCTGCAGCGGGAGCCGCGCCGGCCGACGTGGCCACCGCGCCGCTCACTCACCGTTGTGGACGAAGCTGCGCACCGTGTTGGCCGAGCCTGTCATCTGGCCCGGCAGGTTCAGGTCGAGCGTGTTCAGCTCACTCGTGGTCGGCGCCACCCGCGCGTACACTTCGCTCAGGTAGCCGGGCACGGCCGGGCGCTGCCGCGGCCTCCGGTTCATGCCCAGTGTGCTCAGGAAGGCCGCCTCCAGCTTGTCCACGACGGCGCGCGGCGGCCGGCCCGACTCGAGCCGCTCGAAGAGCTCGGCGTCGCCCGCCGCCGGTCGCCACAGCAGCAGCGCACTCACCAGCGCCACCCACATGGTCACGGACGCAACTGCAACGCGTACGGCGCGGCGTCACATGGCGCTCGCGCGGGCCTCTGACACGTCAACTGCGCTCGCCAGCAGGGACGCGACTGGCGCGCCACGCGGACTCGCCGGCCGCCGCGCGGCCGCCGCCGCCGGCCGCCCGTACACAGACGAGAGCGGCGGAGCGGGGCCGGAGAGAGCGCGGAGGGGACAGCACCGTCCAGCCACGCTGGCGCCGGCCGCGCGCGCGGCCGCGGGGCGCGGCATCGGCGAGGAGGGACGCAAACCGCTGGACATGGCGGCCGGCGCAGGGGCACGGCGGGGGCTGCGCACGGAACGGACAAGCTGCCAAGGTGAGGGCCCTCGCTCGCACCGGAGAGGGGCCGGAGAAGGGCAACGAGGATGAAGGGACGAAGGCATCGGGCCGCGCACACGCGAACGGCTAACGAGCATGCTGATTAAAAGCAGCCTAGTGCAGGGGTTACGGGGACGAGAGATAGCACAGACTCGACGGTCAAGAGACAGCGCAATGCACACATACCAGGCAACGGACGGGGCGCGACCTGAGCATTGGACGGACGACAGATGCCTCTGCCGGCGGGCGAGGCAGAGACGAAGCGCCGAGCGACAGCAAAGGATCCCACCGCGGCGGCCGGCGGCGGCGCGCCACGGGAGGCCTCTCAGACGACCCTCAGTGGCAGCCGTTAGGCACACACCGCGGCGCGCCCCCTCCCACACAAAACACACACGCATCACCATACGCAGCGGGGACAAACAAGCGAGGACACAGGCGCACCTGTGGGCGGAGACGCCGACCGACCGGAAGGGTGGCGAGGGTCGGCACAGCGCGGTCCTCAGGTATGTCGACTGGACCCCCTCCCCCCTCCGCACGGGCCCCCACCGGAGGAGGAGCGGACCGGAAATAGTGGCCGTCCGGCCGGGCGGCCGGGCGCCGGCGCCGGTCGAGGGCCAATGACATAGTGCTGCTGCTCTCCGACCTTTTCAGGGTGGTCACTTGTCCTAGATTCGGTGACAACAGTTTTAGATTACAGGGCGAAGCAGGCCGAGATGTCTTATCTTGCTGTCAGGCTGGTATCTCGTAACGAAAATAAAGAGCTCAGGAATTTGGTGAATGTCCGGACGGTTGCGAAGACACGGGACGGACAGGACAGCCTTGGAAGAAGTGCCGGCCACTGAAACGTTTCATTACGATGGTCTTTCTTGGCGGTGTTCCGTAAAAACACACGCATGATTTACATAAGGATTGTCTCATAATGACAGGACATGGTGTACCGAAAGGATAAACAAAGCAGGCGCGCTTTTTCAAACAGCCATGCTGCTGTAATGAATAATACTCTGAGACCAATTGAGCTGTGCATGACATTGGAATGCTTTAAAGAGTACGTGACGCAAGTCGTCGCGCAGTCTTCTATGAAGCGCCATCCACTGCGGTGGTCGTGCACCGTTCAAAGGCTATTTGGCAACCGAGATTCCACGTGGGGCTTTCCACGTGAGGGCTGGAGGAGCCAGCCACGGGACCATCACGTGTGTTGCCAGATCGCAGTGCTCTGATAGTAGATCGCAGTGCTCAAGCAGTGCTCCAGTATTTGTAATGAAAGTTAAGTGTCTTTCCATACGAAAGGTTTGTGAATGTGTCGTGCATGTCAAATGATTCATGGCGCTGACGACACTGATAAGTTTAGGCAGCTTTGCCCAACTCCAGCGCCAAGTAGGTTGTGCGACCTGTTGCTTTTTGGATGTGAATACTTCTCAAACCGTTAAGCAGATCGTAATGAAATTTAGCGGAACAAAATTTTGTACATTTCTACGCGGGACAGCAAAGGCTCAATGCAGTAACGTTATGCAAGATACTGTCAAGATCGCTCACATTGGTCTGCGATGCGAAAATCCTGCGAAACATGGCGTGCTTTCGCCCAATATGTTATGTGCGATGCTTGGTACTGTTTTCCACCGCCAGGTCTCGCCAGTTTTCCTTGTTTAGTGTTTCTTTATGAGTTTTGAGGGTGTTGGCTAGCTTTGTAATGGTCGTCAACAATCCCGCTCTCCTTGGAAAAGATCGGCCTAGGCTAATGACATGCGGAAGCTTGGAGTATGCATGCAGTTATAAATGTCCGGTCCCTGCATCATGAATCGCATGTCTGGCGTGCGCCAGTGGTTACCTTGACTTAACCAGAAGCTATTTTACTCCAATCAGGCTGCCTTAAAAACTACTCGAGGCAGCATGCTACCACATGTGTTGGTCTCTTTGATATTCTCACACAGATATTTCCACACAAAATGGAAGTTTAGGGTAGCCAAAAGTCATCGTCACAAAACATGGCATTATTTCCGACGGCCCAGCTGACGCCTGGAAAAGCTGGATTCATGCCCTACGCCTGGAGAAGCTGGAGTCATGCCTTACGCCCGGAGAAGTTGGAGCCACGCCCTACGCCTGAAGAAGCTGGAGTCGTGCCATACGCCTGGAGAAGCTGGAGCCACGCCCTACGCCTGGAGAAGCTGGAGTCATGCCCTACGCCTGGAGAAGCTGGAGTCACGCCTCACGCCTGGAGAAGCTGGAGCCACGCCCTACGCCTGGAGAAGCTGGAGCCATGCCCTGACTTCAACTAGCTGACATAAAACCTCTGCAGATCTGGCAAGGCCGTGGGTTTACCTGGGCTAGGACTAATCAGTGGTAAGCCATCTCTTGAAATGGCAAGAGAGAAAATATATTTAAGAGGAAGAGGCTTTGGAAGGAGGTATTTATGGAGCAGAAGGAGGTAATTATGTGTATTCAGTGCATTAATAGTGTGAAAGTTTATATAAAACTTGGGTTGTCCATTCTCCTTCCTTGCTACCGCATGTCCCAGTGGTCAAAAATCGTGCAAACAACATGAGAAACAGCTTACTTTAGGATTTTAACAAATGATGCGCTGTGTACCATCGATCGCTGCTCCTATGTCTGCTTTTTTCACAATTGAATTTGACACAGCAACACATTTTAATTTGGAATTTGAAATTGCCCTGAGGTCGCATGGACCCAATCCATCGAAAATAGCGAGTAGCGGTATTCCATCGGGCAAATATAACGACATGGGCAACAAGTATTTCTCTCGCGCAGCATTGCATTGTTCTCCTGAGTTCTATGCATACCAGCTGAGACGCGCAGTGAGTGATTCCTCCGCAGGACCTGCGTGCGGGCTTGTAGCGCCGCCAGATCTGGCACGCTTCTCGAACCATCTGCCGTCGGCGGCAGGGAAGGGACGAGAGTCTACACGAGTCTGCGATCACGTCTGCATGCCGATGAGTCGATATGAAGTCGAACACGAGTGAGCCCTTCCAGTGACATCAGACGTCCGCAGACCGGCGCCAAATGTCTCTCTACATATCACGACATGCCCAGCGCGGCCGCGGCGCCTCAAGACGCTGCCAAGACCTACATACTGTGCTCTTGGACTGCGTCAGCGGACACTGAAGTAGCAGTTGTTCCGGATGTTCGCCAGCTTGGTGAAGGAATTGTGGCAAACTAGTGGTCTTCGAGACCGTGGTCTTGCTAAGAGATGGATAACTGTAGTGAGTAACACTTGGCAGAACATGGAGCATAGTCGGCTTTGCTCACCTTGAAAGTAAATGAGGGCTTGTTCTGTTCTGGACATCAGACTTAAGATAACAGCTCAGCGTCTTGTACTGTTCTATCCTGCATAGCAACGTCCTTACTTAGCCGGTAGCTCAATGACAACAGAAAAATGAATGTTTGCGATGTGCGGTGGACGGGCTCCAGAGAGGTAAATGAAAATATGACTCATTGGGAAAAGCAAGAACATTAAGGATGACTGCTTATATTTTCAGGTGTCGGAGAATAAGAAATAAACATTTCTACGCCAAAACTAATGGACAAATCATGTGTCAGTGTGCATCTTTCAGCCAATACCGGATCAAAATGATGAGAGCGTATGCCTAAGTAATCTGATGCTGAAATGAAGAATACATCAAACCTGCCAATATTTCTCGCCGTTAACACGCGCTCGGGTGGGGGGTCAAATAGCCCCCCCCCCCCCGAAGGTTTTTCCAGAATGGTTTCCGAACGGCGCGGCGTAGCCGCGCCAAATTTTGTATAGCTGTAGACAGTTTAATAGCGGATCGTTCGGCATGAATCAATTTAGATGTACCCTGTAAGGTCGCTGACCTATGGCGGGTCAAAGTCAGGCCATGGTTTCAGCGAAGGCAATTTCTAGGGAATCCTTCAAGCTGATCCAACAACGGAGTGTTAGACGAAACCATACATCTCTGAGATACTTTCTTAGGCAACACAACAGTTGAACAAGCAAATTAAATTGACCTAAGGTCAGGTATCAAGGTCACAGCCAAGGTCAAAACCAACCTGTTTTGTTACTCTAGGGCTTGCTGTATGCGATGGTTCCTGGTGTTCCTTTTGAATTTATTGATAGCAGCAACCGCATTATACATCTTCTATGGACCTCTTAGAGGTCATGATAGGTCATTGACCTAAAATGACCCAGGTCAATATTTTGTTTTAGGAACATACTGCCTAGGCAGTCTTGGTCGCTTAGTCAAATGCAAAACTCAAAGCAATCTTGTATGATTTTGGTCACCTTGACCTCAAAAGGCCAAAAAGGTTACTGACCTTAGTTTAACACGTGACCTTTTGCTTAGAAATGGTTATCTAGGTTCTGGGGGCACTTAAGAGACCAAACTGGAACTTGACCTTGTTTGACCTGTTTTGACCCGAAGATCATAACCTAGAAACCTGAAACTTTGGCCTAAGTGAGTTCACGTACAGGTCAAAACACTCTGTAAATTTGGTGTTTCTAGCTTTCTTAGTTCTTGAGATCTCAGTTGGGTCAAATTAACCCCCTCCCCCCCCCCCCACACGAGCGAAGGGTATCTAGCCGGCCACCTGGGCGCGTGTTAACTCTTAAAACGTTATTAACTGTCACCGAGACCTTGTTTTCAGACGCGGGCATGAAAGGCAACGTTTCAGTAATAAATCGACAGCAGGTCATGCCATCCGTTTTATCCTGAATGAAATCGCAGGAGGCGGAGAAGTGTGTGAAATGTTTTTACAAAACG